GTACGTGCACCCCAATGTTTATAGCAACAATGTCCACAATAGCCAAAGTATGGAAAGAGCCTCGATGTCCATCGCCAGATGAATGGATAAAGAAGATGTGGTATATATATACAACGGAATATTATGCAGCCGTCAAAAAACTAAATCTTGACATTTGCAATGTCATGGATGGAACCAGAGGGTATTATGCTAAGCGAAATAAGTCAATCAGAGAAAGACAAGTATATGATCTCACTAATATGAGGAATTCTTAATCTCAGGCAACAAACTGAAGGTTGCTGGAGTGGTGTGGAGTGGGAGGGATGGGGTGGCTGGGTGATAGACATTGGGGAGGGTATGTGCTATGGTGAGTGCTGTGAATTGTGTAAGACTGATGAATCACAGACCTGGACCTCTGTAACAAATAATACATTATATGTATCAAAAACTAATGATGTAATGTATGGTGATTAACATACAAAAAAAAAGAATAAAGCACTTGCTCGGGACGAAACTTAAAGAAAAATGTTTACTAAATTTGAAGTTCCTTTGAGAAATAGAAACTGCACCATCTCTACTATTTGGGCAGGTCTACTTTCCCTTTCTGTGCCCTAGTTCTCCTATCTGCAAAATGGAGATGGTGGATGGGATTTCTCCCCAAGTTCTTCCACCATCAACATTCCATATGTCAGTGATGTTTGCCTCTCTTCTTGCTGCCTACAGTTTCAAATCTAAGAAGCTTGGGCCACTTCCATTTGTTAGGCTTTTATTGAAAATCCAACCACCCTAGAAGGCCAGATCTTGTAGCCTGGGCTGCTATTTAAATCTCTGTCAGACCAGAGCAACTTTGTTTAAAATTATATTTTGTTAATCCATCATGTGGATGTGGAGCTTGCTATTTTTAATACATGCTCTGAACAGCCCAGTTATTCAGGGCTGAGAGTTTGCCACAGAACTTTAGAGCTGAATTTAAAAACAAACAGCCCCAGAGAAGCAATAAGAAGGCTGCTTTCACAAGCTAATAAAATTCGGGAATGGAAAAGTAGAGGGGCAAGTTTTACCTCTGAGCAGGACAGCAGCTTGGGAAGGCCGTGAGTTTCTTTGCTCTCTTTGATGCTGGAGGAGCAAGTAGAGGAATGACCCTCATTAGTGCTTGTTTAGATGGCAGACTCCATTGACCTTTCCTGAGTCATTTGTCAAAACTCTGGAAATGCGCACTTTTGTTACAGGACTGGGGCACATACCTTCTAAAAATCTCTCTCTCTCTCTCTCTCTCTCGCTTCACTTTCCCCTCTATTTCCCTTCCTTCTTTTAGGCCATATAACATACACGGAGGGAAAAAGGCATGAAAACAGAAGCATTTAATGAAATTAAAGCAGAAATACCTATATTTATAACAACTCTTAAGTGATTGTTGGGAAACCATAGAAAGCTTTCACTGAAATATGTAATTGTAGCAAAAATCACCTAAATACTGACTTCCTGGACTTTGAGAGATGAATTGTCATTCATTCGTTTATTTATTCATTCATTCAAACGTACTAGTTAAGGTCCTAAGATGGGCCAGGGACTGTATTAAATGCAGTGTTTACAAAGCTTGCCCTTGAAGAGCTCATGAGTTTACTGGCGTGCAGAGATTAAAAAGCCTCCCAAGAGCCCAATTCAGGAAATTATGATTCCTGATCCTCTTTTTTATTTTGCCAATTCGACAAGAGATATTTATACCATCTTATCAGAGTTCTATAAGATCATATAAAAAGTATTTCTTTTTCTCTTCAGGACATCCTCTAAACATAGAGGCTCATTAAAGTTCAGTGATTCATAGAATTCTGATCTGGCTCATGTAAAGTAGAACAGACAATGCAGAAGAGAGACCATTTATTGACTCACTCATTCAAAACATCCAAGGTCCAGGGCTAAGGCACAATCAGAGCAACTTCTGCTAACTACCCGTTTTCTCTCTGTGAATAGAAGAATCACAAGAAAAGGTAGAGGGCGCCTGGGTGGCTCAGTTGGTTAAGTGACTGCCTTCGGCTCAGGTCGTGATCCTGGAGTCCTGGGATGGAGTCCCACATCGAGTCCCGCATCGAGTCCCGCATCGGGCTCCCTGCTCGGCAGGGAGTCGGCTTCGTCCTCTGACCCTATCCCCTCTCATGTGTTCTCTCTCAAATAAATAAATAAAATCTTTAAAAAAAAAAAAAGAAAAGAAAAGGTAGAAACAAGAGAAGAGCAATGCCTCATTTATGCTTTCGGAAATTAACGCAGAAAAAGTGTCTCCGGGCACCTGGGAGGCTCGGTCCTTAAGCGTCTTCCTTCAGCTCAGGTCATGATCCCGGGGTCCTGGGATCCAGCCCCGCATCGGGCTTCTTGCTCAGCGGGAAGCCTGCTTCTCCCTCTCCCACTCCCCCTGCTTGTGTTCCCTCTCTCTCACTGTGTCTCTCTCTGTCGAATAAATAAATAAATAAAATCTTAAAAAAAAGAAAAAAAAAGAAAAAGTGTCGACTTTTTTGCCGGAATTATTTCAAACTGTTATCACGTAGGTTGGAGGTTGTTACTTGCATGGGTACACTAGGATCTTTCCGATCCATGGAATGTCGGTGCCTCAGCCAGCTGTCTCACAAATGCCTACCATTGATCATGAGAGAAGCACTGGCAGATGGGAGTGGATCGATTGGTGTTGGAGTTCCAACCACTCGCATAGCTTATACCACTGCCCAGGTAATGGTAATAACCCTCTCAGATGAGAAGTCAAGGCAGCATAGAAGACCTGCAAAAGCCAACATTTATTTGGGCATGTATCCTCTTTAATATTGAGTGGGTAAGGAAGCTCGTTTCAAGGAGAAGGAAACCAAAAGCAAAAGAAATTAACTGGTTCTGCCAAAGTTCTTCAGTCGTTACTGGATTCAATAAACTTTGAGGACCTTCCTCCGGGGCTAAATGCCATGGGAAATATGAAGACGGATATGATATAGTCCTTATCCTAAAGAATCTCATAGTTTGAAACTTGCATTAACAATGATAAAGCAAGGTCAAAATTCATCAGTGCCACCTGAAAGTTTCTGAAAGGGTGCAATGGAGGTCCTAAGGAGGGGACTTTGCCACCAGGTTGGGGAGGGGTTGGGGAAGGCAGGTATGGAATTGGCTTTGGTGTAAGGTTGAGAAGAGAGTAAGGAGGGGAGAGAAATTCCAAAGTAATGTCAGTGGCCAGATCTGTGTTTTGTAAACATCACTGCCAGCAACGATATGGAGAACAGGTTGCAGAAGGGAAAGAATTAAGTTTATAACAACAGAATTAAGTTTATAACAACAGTTTAATTACATATTACGTCAGGCATTGCACTAAGTGCTTGACCCACTTTATCTCATGTAATCATTAAACAATCTCTGAGATAGGAATTACCATCTCCATTTTATGGGGAAAGGAATGGCAGAACCTGGACTAACAAAACAGTTTGTATTCTTGGCAGTGAGAACTTGTAAGAAAATGAAAAAGCTCCTATCTGAATCAGGGACTGTGGAATAGAGAAGAGATGGATTTTAGAGAATTAGGAAGACAACTGGTTTCTAAGAACCAATAGGCCTTCTAAGTGTTTGCCTCAGAAACCACATAAACACTAAAAACATCTGTGAGATCCTATTCGGTCTAAAAGGACAATGACTTAGATGGAACCTGCCCTGTCAAGTAAGTATAACTCCATTGCAAGAACTCCTTTGTCTTATCACTGTCCATCCACCCAGATTCTGGCACTCTGCCTGGCAAATGGTGGGTGCTCAAATGGTATTTGTTGAATGAGAGAATTCTCACCTGGACATTCAGCATTCATTGCAAACCTGGGGCAATTCATTCTGTCCCCCCTGCCCTCCACCCACACTTTGGTTTTTCCGAAGAGCAGGCTGTGCCTCATTAACTCATTATACGTTAAGTTGAATAAGGTGTTATCCAGGAAAATTAATTGCCTAGGGCAAAGATAGAGATACTGTAGTGGCTAATGGGAGAGTCTATATGGCCCGTGGTGGGCACTGTTTTTTGATATGCTTAATTCTATCATGTTTGGCAATCTACGCAGAAAAGGGCAGAAGATTGGTTTCATATTCCTTAAGGCAGGTTCCTTCACCATCTGAGGCACTTCTTGAGATGGAAATGCTCCCACAGAGATGTCCTCGCTCAGAACGCCGCCCTTAAAATCAGAGGAAGACTCCCCTCTCCTTGAATGAGGTTGGCAAGCCCTGCCCCCAAAGGGGGTGGAGGTAGAGAAAGAATACGTCCACAACTCGCACGTCTGCCTGAGTGCAGATTGGCAAGTGGCATGGGCGTGCAGACCCCTGCCATTTATTTATTTTTCTTTCCACTGGGTGCGCTGTCCCTTTAAATGGGGACGCTGGTGCTGGCTCCGTAACACCGGAGCCGGCAGCTTGTTGATTTCAGAGCTGGTGAATTTCACATTGTTTCCACTTCACTTTCCTCGCTCCGAGGGCGGCTCCAGTTGGCTCTACGAGCGCTGTCGCTGCTGCCAGCGAGGGCCAGGGGAGGGCAGGGACCTGCAGCATCGGGGCCGGCGTGGGGCCTCTGGGAAGGGTGTCGGGGCCCCACACGCACCCTCGCTGCAGTCAGCTGCTGCCGAAGCCGGGACGCCCGGAGCGCGGAGAGCCGGGACTGCCAGCCTAGACGCCCGCCGGCCAGCCCGCCCACGGGCCGGGGCCGCAGCCAGGGAGCCGGCGAGGGGAGGAGGCCCGGGGGGGCGGGGTGGGGGGCGGGGGTGGGTGCTGCCGCCGCCGCGGAGCTGCTACTCGGCGCGTTTTGCATGAAGATGGCGGCTCCCACCGCCAGCAAGGCAGCCTCCCTGGGCTGTAACAACAAGCCAACGTTCCCGGAGCTGGATTTCAGGTCAGGAGCTCGGGTGGAGGAACTGAACAAACTCATCCAAGAATTCACGAAGCACGACCAGCGGGAATACGACGACCAGAGAGCGCTGGAGATTCACACAGCCAAGGATTTCATCTTTTCCATGCTGGGTAAGGAGGGAAAAGGGGGAGGTGTGTGTGTGTGTGTGATGGGAAGCGTGGTAGAGAACCCATTCCCCCCTTCTCGTGCTCTCTTTCCTTCTTGGTTTCCTTCCCGGAGCCGGGTGCCTGTGGTAGAAACCATCCCTGTTTCGCCTCTTCCCTTCTTTCTCCGCCGCAAGCCGAGCTCCCTTCCCTAGTATACTTTGCGCCGGGTCCCCTTTTACCTCCGTTCGCGGGCTCTTTTGTTAATTTCTCACCGCCCGGGGGGCTTGTAAGCCGGTGAAGTGTTCGTGGTGAAACATCTCACTGTTGGAGGGAAGCCCCTGGAAGCTGCGCGGTTCAGGTGAGACCCGGAGGCGCCTTTCGATGAAGGGATTTGGCCCCGGAGGTTCGGACCTGCGCCTTCCGATGAACGCCGAGTCTCGGGTCCCGTCTTGAGCTTGGGGCGCGAAGACAGCTCGGGGCTCTGGCTCCGCGCCCGAGCGACAAGTTGCTTCTCTAGTCTTGCGGCGCGGCGCTGTCATGCCAAGCCCCCGGTGACCAAACTTGTTGGGTGTTCCCTAGTAACCCGCTCGAGTAGGCTGGGCGCCCGGAGTTCCTGCAACTTTGATTTGCCAATCGACTTCCCTTTGAAGCGCTCGGAAGCATTTCCAGTGCTTCTCCAGGGCTCTTGCTGAGCTCAGGATTTCTAATTACCAGCTCGAAAGTGACCAGGCTCAGAGCTCGGACCCCAAGAAGTGCCAGCCCCCTCCTCTTTGTTTCTGCGCCGGAGACGCCGGGGGAGAGAATAATGCCGCCACTCCCACCCCCAAGCCCGGCACCTACAGGTCCTTCAACAGATTGTCGGATGGTGTGTATAGGAAAATAATTAAGCAAGACCTGGAGACCAGATCCCTTCTCAAGTGTCCTGTCGTTCGAATGATTGCTACTGGGGTGGAGAATGAGTGTCCGCGGCTGGGAGCCTCCCTCCCACGTAGCTTGAGGCTCCACCGGTGCAACCCTGGGGGCATGCAGTACGTGGCCTGGCGGTTAACGTTGCGCAGAACGGGGATTCGAGTGTAGCGCTGTCCTAACACGGTGCTCTGTGCCCTCTACGAACCCATCCTCAGCCAGTTTTCCAGGTCGTGGAAATTTTTTTGAAAAAGGGCTTTGACCCCAGAGGAAGACAGAATTTTTCGCCTTCCTGCTACCTTTTACTTGGATTTTAGCCGGCCGTCGGTCGTTGCTGGTTCTATCATTAGAGTACCCTCTTTCCTCTCGGTTTTCTTCCTCCCCGAAGCCCAACTCCAACTCGGGGGTTTTACAGATTGAATGTTTGGGGCCGGTAATAGTAATGCTTTGGGAAGTTGGAGAAAGTATGTGAAAACTTGGGGCTGGATTTTACGTTTTGCTCCACACTGCCCAAGTGTGTCCTAAATTCTCTATGGGGTTGAAAAGCTCTCTCTGTTGAGCTACTCGACCACTGAACTGTTTATATGAATGAAATGTATTTCTTTCTTTCTTTTTCTTTTTCTTTCTTTTTACAACTCCTTAACCTGGTGGGAATGAGCTTCCAGATCTGAAAACCAGTACAGTGGTTGTCCGGAGGGTGGGGATACACAGAGAAGGCTCAGGGCAGTGATTTCAGTTGCTTAATCATGGCCTTTCTCTTTGACATAAATAATGGAAGTCTGCCATGGCATCAGTTCTGATGTCTCCTGCTCTAGGTGCTTTTCTAGAGAAAGGTGCTGGGTCACCATCACTCAGGATAATCGTGAAACAGAAAATGGGAGGGGAGAGGGAGGGGGTGTCAGTTTAAATACCCCACTCTTTAGGAACTTGTATGCTAACCCCATGGCTGAGACACAGATTTAGCAAAACCTTCATCCACATATGAAGGGTGAATTATTCCAGGGTGCTTAATGTATACCTGCATTTAATGTCACCGGAGGCATTGTGTTGATAGGTAAGCTAAATTACCTTCTATTCCTTTTTATCCGGTTGACCTTGCAAGAGAAGTCTTTCTTGCCCCCGCTGGGAATTTGATAATTCCACCTGCAGGAGAGAAAATTCAGGAGAGTGTCATTTAAGCCTTTTGCCCCTCTGGACACTAGAAGGCAGATGGCAAAATGCGCCTGCCTGTGTGTGGTGCTGCATTCATTTGTGAGTTCCCTGCTTTCCTTTAATGAGGTGCTGGCTGCTCTAGACAAGTGAAGGTTTGGCGACAGCCAGGGTCCCCGTGTGGATTTACTTTTTCTAAAGCGGATTTTCGCTTGGGTTAAAAAACAATCTCTTTTTGTGCACTTTGTTTCACTTGCCACAGCCTTGAGTCTTTCATGAATATGCAAATAAGGTGTCTTAATGACCCTCAGCTTGTTAAGGTGTCACTGGGGTGGCACCAGGCCCTCATTTCTGGGAGTTTTTTTTTGGGGGGGGCGCAACTCATCTTGGCTTTGTTCTGCCTCTGTCTGAGCTGTGTGTACCTGAGGATTGTCAGCAGCTTAAAAACATTATCCCCTCAGACAGAGTGAAATGGTAGAGAAATGTGGTGCAAGCCCCTTTAATGGAGCTGTGGATAACCCTACCTCTGTTTTTAGGCAGCTGGGGTGATGGGGAGCAGCCACTCTCTCTGTATAAAATTGTTAGTCTGGACCCAAGGCCCCTTCTCAGGCCCTTTTTGTATGGTCTACTTTGGAGGCAACTTTATGCAGAAGAGTATAAAGTGGTGGTAGACAGTTGTCGTCATCAGTGACCTGTCAGCCCCAAGAAAGTCCATTGTCCTATCAAAGCAGGGTTCCTAATAGGCTGTGGAGTTGGTCTGAGCCTGTTGGTGGTCACCGCGGTCTCTGTGATCTGTCCTGACATTCTGTGTTTGTACAGACATTCTGATTCCTTTGAGGCAGATGTTGGCTGGAAACATCTAGACTCACTCTTTATTGCTCTACACCTTGATCTTTTAGGAGACTGATTGCTGTTATTATCTAGTTAATATTTGAGAGCCCAGATTGTGTGAGAGGCTGGCAGTGCATAATAAACACCATTTATCAAAATTCAGGGACATTGCCAGAGTTCATTAATGTTTTAATAATATTTGGTATTTGCATAATGTCTCTGCCAGCTCTTTTGTTATCTTCATTCCCTGGCGAGGTTGGATGGAGACTGGTTGTGTCCCCATTGAACAGATGCGGAACAGGGGCTATGCAGAAGCTGTAGAAGCCAGGAAGGAGACAAGCAGTCACTTACCCTACAGTCCAAATGGTAGATCATGGCATAGTTATTAGGACAGCTCTCATTCACTGATTGCCTTTTCAGTGACAGGAACTTTGCATGGTCTTAGGAGTAGGTATTGCTTTCCCATTGCACAGATGAGGATAGTGAAATTTCCTGGGGTTAAGACCCATCCAAGGTCTCAGGGCCAATAAATGGTACAGAAGTTGCTCAGACTCACAACATCCTGCCTCTAAGACATGTTCCTCTTATCCTGTTTGAGAAACTATTAAGAATAAAGTAGGGGGAGACCAACCATGAGAGACTATGGACTCTGAGAAACAAACTGAGGGTTCTAGAGGGGAGGGGTTGGCCTGGTGATGGGTATTAAAGGGTTCTAGAGGGTTCTAGAGGGGGATGGGCTGGCCTGGTGATGGGTATTAAAGAGGGCACGTACTGAATGGAGCACTGGGTGTTATACGCAAACAATGAATCATGGAACACTACATCAAAAACTAATGATGTAATGTACGGTGATTAACATAACATAATAATAATAATAAAAAAAGAATAAATGCATTAAGTCCAGAGGACGGGCTTTGTTTAAAAAAATTGCTACCTCTTTCAGGATTTTGTTTCTGATTTCAACTATCAGTGTTAGTGTGATCCAAGCAGCATCTGAGCTGATTTCTGGAACAGTCCGAGTTCAAGTATTTTAGTCCATAATAAAATCACTTGTTTGAATTTCTGGTTGAGAAAATGGTCATTCTAATAAAATGTGGAAATCTTGTAGTTCTAGTCCTAGTCTGCCTCTTTGCTAGCTGGGTGGTCTTAGTTTTTTCATCTATTGAACATGGATAACTTTGTAAACTGAAAAGGAATGTATACGTGATGTTATTATTTATTTAAAGAAATGGGCATTATTAGAAAATCTAGTGAACTTAGGCTGGGATCATTTCGGTAGGTGGGTGTCAGAAAGAACTAGGGAGTACCGCTAGAGGTAGCCTAGGAGAATATAGGCTCTGGCTGTAGAAGGCGGGACTAATTCTACCTTGCACTGCCATTTGTTAAGCTGCTACTGTGTTCTGGCCATTGTGCTAACCACTTCGCATAAATCCATCAGTTTATGTCATTTTCTTCCAGAAATTTGTGTGGATAAATATTGTCATGCCTCTGCATTCCACAAATACTTACTGAATGTTATACTGCCTGCCAAACAGGATGCAGGGTCCCGAGGAATGAGTGGAAACTTGGAGAAATTCATATAGGCTCTTGGAAACCCCTCTCTCTTCTCCTTTGCCCACAGCCTCCACGAAAGTAGTTTGCTAGCCTCTGTGTCCTCTTAGGTCCATAAATACATCGTAGCCACCTCAACATCCTATCGTGTGGTGCTTCCGAGGGCTGCTAGACCTACCATATTTTTAGGCACTTTCTATGTCTTCACAGCAGACCATTTTGAGGCCCGGCCTTTCCAGTGTTTGAATGAAATTTTTCTCTTAATGAATTTATCCAGCAATGTTTATTGAGGGAATTTATTCTGTCATTGCCTTGTGGGCCTCCAAGTCTTGGTAAGTCCCTTAGAGTTCTAGTCACTAATGTGATGTATCTGGATAACGGGCAAGATCATATTTGAAGTCTACTCCAGCGCTGAAAGTATTATGTGTCTAGGGCTGGGAGAGCCCTCTGAATATTTATTTTTGCTGCTAGTTCAGTTGGTTTCAGTTCTTCCTCGGTGGCTCTGGGCATTGCTGACCTTCATCCTTGATGGAAGAGTTCTAGAACTGTTGATGATTCTGGGTCTTCCCACGATGCCTTGTTCGCTGCCCATTGGATATTGCATTGCTCATGATTAGACTGGGTCCCCTTTTGCTTACACAGAAATATTAGATTCTCTCTTGTCAAACTGAGAACTTGTCATTGAATATTAGCTCTTTAGACTCTCCTGCAGCTCTTTTTTTTTTTTTTTTTTTTAAACAATTTGGAATCTCTGATCCCCTTTCAGACCTATTGAATCAGAATCCCTGGAGCTCCCCAAATGGTCTGATCAGCACTCTGATATCCTGTCCTGTGTTAGGCCCGATGTCATGCATTTCCCATCCGATAGAACTGCTCCTATGCAATGAATATGATCCCACTTGACATGGAGGCTAGGACCAGTGTGAGCCTAATGAGTCGATATGCCTGCTAGTTCTTGAAAATGGAGTCCTTCCACCTGGGACAAAGTCAGGGAGGCATGGCGACTGCACCAGAGGTTGTCATAGGGCTTTACAACATTATATCATTTAATTGTCACCATAGCCCTTAGAAAAAGAACTACAGGGCAAAATTAGGAACTTCCCAAGTGTACCAACAGGGAAGTGGCACAGCCGGGACTTAACCGGGGTTGGGCTGATGAAACCCTTGCTTTTGACAGACACTACTCTGGTGTCAGGAGTGGGAGGAGACCTGGATTCTGGCCCCCACTCTTCTGGTTATTTGCTGTGTGACTCTGGGCAGGTCACTTAGATTCTGAACCTCAATTTCTGAATATGTATGTTGGGGCAAATAATTATAGCTACCTCATGCGTTCGGGTGCATTCAGTTCTGAATCTGAAAACCTTGGTGCAGGACAAACGAAGGACATGTCTGAATTCTAGTACCAGCTCTATTCTGTACTGTGTGGGA